GCCTGCACGTGGCAAGGGCACTTCCAGAAAGGAAATGATGTGATTCAGTGTGTAATTCACAATATGATTGAAAGGATCATGCAAATCCTACGACATGGAAATGCTGCCCGGAGAACCTAAATGCTGTTATGATGTTTTCTGTAAAACTTTAAACCCAAGAGTTTAAAGAACTGCTGGTAGTTTTCATGGTCAGAGGGAACTGCTTAACCACGGGTTTCTGCCCTCTGTTCCTACACCAAGCATCAGGCACGCTCAGTGTAAAACATTTCATGCCTTTGAGAAATCAGTGAGGATGTGGATTTTTGACAAAAAAGGAGGAGTAAGTGTGACCTCAAGCTTTCTGCCCTGGATCAGGCCCTGCATCCATGTGCCCTGTGTCCATCCAAGAGCTGGTTTTGCTCTTGCAGCACCAGATACTATGATGGACTTGCCAAGTGCTGCTGATCTTGCAGACAGCTGTAACAGATTTCTGTTCTGTTTGCTCATGTCACCTAATTCTGCTTGTCACAGCTCTTACTAGCAGTGACAGGAGACACAAAGAGCTAAATTCCCTCAAAGGAGAGGAGTTGGCAATATCAGCAGGTAGAAGAAAATTATGTCTTTGCTTGAAAGCAGTGTATGTTTGATGTGTAAATGAGGCAGATTGAACACAGGCAACTGAGGGGTCACTGGGGCACTTGGGTTTGCCAAGTCTGAGTTCTGCACCACTGCATTTCCTTCTGTTTTCAGGTCTCTACAGCTGGGCAGCAAAGTAAGAAACCCTCCACCTTGCTTTCCTGTAGCAGAAAAATCTTCAAACTCCCTGACCAAGTCTCTGCAATCCATATTGAATTCACAGAATATTACTTCCCAGACAATCAGGACTTTCCAGGTAATACATCAAGGTTAGCACCTTCTTTCACAAGTTTCTTAAAGACTCATCAATGGTCTAGCCCTGTCAGATATTCTCTGTGTGTTGTTGTTTAGTTTTCTGATGTTTGCCATCCTAATTTTTTTTTTTTTTTTTTTGCCTGTGGGAAGGTGGGATGGAGTTTGTGCACAATGTGGAAGCAGAGCTGTGCTTGCAGGAAGGAATTGCAGCAGCTGCTGTTTGCCCAGTTCCTGGGGTTCAGCCTTACTGAGAGCCCTGGAGCAGGGCATGGGGTGCTCTGGGTGCTGTCCCAATGGGTCACCTCATTCCTCTGGGTGCACCACAGCTGCTCCCCTTCCAAGATGTGTCTCCCAGGAGTGGTGAAACCCCTGCATTGGTGCTGTCAGTGCAGGTTCTGCACCCAGGGGCCTTTCCTGCTATCATTAATCTGTTTCCCTCTAGTTCCATGCCCAAACTTGTACATGCAGCTGAATGGCCTGATGCTCACCCTGGACACGCCAAGTGTGCTCTGGATCAATCTCTTCTGCCTGGATCTGTGTCGCAGCCTGGAGCAGTTCAAAGCCATCTACAAGCTGGAGGACTCAGGCAAGCGGGATGAGCACGTGGATGTCCGGCTGGATGGCTTCAGGCTGAAGGTACCATTCTTTTCCTTCCTTTCCCAGTGTTCTCTCTGTGAAAGAAACATGAGACCAGGACATAGCTGGAGTCCATCATGAGGAGACAAACCTGCTGCCTTCCTCTGTCTTTGCTCTGTCTGCATTTTGTGTTGGTTTTGTTTGGTTTGTGCTGCTGGAGTTCTCATCCAGAATAAACCTCTGCTAATCCTTTCTCACCTTCCTTCCCCTGCAGCTCAGCATCCCCGTGGATAAGAAAGTCACAGAGCACCAGGACCGGCCTCGGGCCCTGTGTGTGTGCATGTCAGAGGTGACAGCCACCAACACCCGCCACGCTCCCTCCTGCAGCTGCCAGGACCTGCAGGGCCTCTTCAGGAAATTCGCGGGCTCCGAGTTCTTCCACTCCAGCTACGCGGCGTTCCCCCGGGAGCAGGGCAGCTTCAGCCTCCTGCACACCCTGTTCCTGCGCCACGCCTTCCACGTGGAGGACAGGCCACACAAGCACCACAAGCTGCCTCACAAAACCTCTGCCTCTGAGGATCTGTGGTCTGTGAATTTCAGTGAGCTCTCCCTGGGGTTTGAGGGGGCTGAAAGCTCCAAGGGCAGAGCCCTTAGCTTTGTTGACCCTTTTCCCCTTTCCATATGGGTCTGCCTGCCCAAGAGGTGGGGGCAAGCTCAGATGTCTAAACGACAGGAGCTGGCCACCTCTGAGGTGAAAATCAAGTCTTCTGCCAGCTTTAGCAATCACTCCAAGAACGAGAACCTCTCCAGAGAACACGGCATTTGTCAAAGATCAAAGACTGACCAAGATCTGAGGAATATCTACAAGGCTCCAGACACGATGGATGTCTTGGGAGAATCTGACTGTGAAGTTGATGATGGAGTAGACAGTAAAGAGCTGGAAGCCTCTGCTGATATCCACGTGCTCATGTCCTCCTCTGTACACGTCAAAGTTCGGCTCAACCACTACCAGTACTTGGTGCTGCTCAGGATGAAGGAGGTTCTGCAAGCACTGCAGGAGCAGCTGGCCCAAGATACCCAGGAAATGACTGGGTCTCCTTTAGATGCCATGTCTGCTTGTGTGGGAGTTATGTTCCCCAGTGCTGAGGTGGCCCTGCTCATGGCCCCTGCCCCAGGGTCTGTCGTGGAGCCCAGGTCCCTGGACTCGGACACAACCAGCCTGATCGAGTCTGAGCTCTCACCCTCAGACAGCAAGGAGGGGCTGGCAGCTGAAGAGAAGGAGCTGAAATCAGAGAGCAGTTCGGAGAAGGGCTTGGGCAGCACCTCAGAGCTCCCAGAGGACAGTGGGACCCAGGACAGCGGTGCCAGCGTCCCTCTGGAGAGGCTCCCGAGGTCCGCGAGCGACGGCGCCCTGAGCGCAGCTCCCCGCGGTAAGGGCGCAGAGGAGAAAGCCTTGATAGAGGAAGCGCACGAAGCTGTGGAAGCCCTGGTTGCAGAGAGACCAGCAGAGACCAGCAGCCACCCTCAGAGCCCCCCTGCTCTCCCTTCCAGCCCAGCCTCGGACGCGCAGCCCTCGGGCAGAGGAGGTGTTGCCCTCAATGGCCAGGCCGAGCTCGTCCCGCTGCGGAGCATCGAGGTGGAGCTCTCCAGTGCACTGCACATCACCAAGGACGCCACCAAGGAAGCTCTGCACGCCACCATGGACCTCACCAAGGAGGCCGTGTCCCTCACTAAGGATGCCGTGTCCCTCACTAAGGATGCCCTGAGCCTGAGCAGGGACAAGATGACCTCCACCATGCAGAGGATGCTGTCCTTGCCCCCGGCCAGGTGAGCAGGCCAGGCTGCTGAGCTGCAGGAGGGGAGACAGAGCTCCTTCCTTTCTGTCCTTTGTATCTGGGCTGGAGAAGGGTTAAGTGTTCATCTCTGGGGCTGTTCTGAGGGTACTGAAGTCTGACTTGCAAGTGGTCAGAGACCAGCCCAACACTCAGATCATCTGCAGGCTCAGCTGCCTGCCTCTATCACTGTTTCTGTTGGGTTTTTCTGTAGGGATTCTGTGCCCAAAGCAGAGGAGGGAGCGCTGACCCCGGGCGGGGCGGGCAGCGGCCGGATGCGTTTCTTCTCCATGAAGAGAACCTCATCCCAGCACTCCTTTGACACCACATCCGTGGATGGCAGTGGCCCTGAGGACGGGCTGTCTGTGGACAGTGATGGCAGCGATGGCTTCGTGATGCTCACAGACTCTGGTAAAGCCCTTGGCTTTTGTGTGCCCACCCTCATCATCAGGGCTGATGCTTTGTGCCACAGGCAGCTCATCCATCCTGTGCTCCTATGGAATCACTTTTGCTGCTCCTTGTTTTTGAAGGTCTTGAGGAGTTGCCTCACAGTGGTTCTTTCTGCTTTTGTAGGTGCCTGTTCTTTGAGATGAGGAGGGTGAATCAGTGTGGGGTGACCCTGCACGTCCCAGTGGTGTCCTGGGGGCTGCAGGGGCTGTGATGTGCTGGTGGTGGGTGGCACAGAGCATTTAGGAAGGGCTGGTTGGATACTGGGTACTCTGGACATCTTCCACTTCAACCTGTGTTGCTTAAGCTCATCTGAGGAGCTGGAGAGAGATGGATCTCCAGAGGATGGTACCTCCAGAAGGGCCAGAGATTCAGGCAGTTACTGATAGCAGGATTCCAGAGAAAGAAATGGAATTGAGTTGTTGTTGCTTCCATTTCAGAGCCCAGCCTGGACCCCCTTTCTTCAGGGCAGCTTCCCCCAGCCCACAATGACATGGGCAGCAGGAGCAGCCTGGTGGCAGAGGACGAGGGTGGAGTGTCCCCTGAGGTGAACAGCTCCACGTCCCAGAGTGAGGACCCCAGTCTGCAGCTGGTCAGTGGCTGACATTGGGATTCTGTCCCTGAGGGGCTCTGGAGGTGTTTGCTGTGACCAATGAGCTCCTGGTGGCTGTTGCAGGTGTCTGTCCTCGTGCTGAAGATGAGTGATGTGAACTGTGCAGTGGAGGTTCAAGGAGATGATTTGTCTGTGGCTTTACAAGTGATGAAGGTGGTTCCAGAGCAGCTGAACAACGTTGGCATGTGGCAGTTCCTGCGTGGCTACGTGGGTAAGATGCTGCTCTGGGACTCAGCTGCAGAACTGGCTTTTATAGCAGCCTCCCCCAGGGAATATTCCATTTACTGGGGCCTCAGTGTTTGGGGTGGTTAGGATTGAACACAACTCATGTGTTGAGGGTTCAGATCTGGCATTTGAAAAATGTTTCCCAAGTGCCTACACAGTCAAGCTCTGTGGTGCCTAGTAATCATTGATTGGGATTTTTTAAGTTGCATGAAATGAATTAAAAGAGTGAATAAAGCTATCTAGGGAAACTGAAGTTATTCCTGATCTGAAAAAAATGCTTTTGGTCTACAGTACTTCCTCTAAATTTGAATTAAAAAAAAAAACCAAAGCCAAACCTTAAAACAATCAATTATCCCCCTGACACCCAAAAAAACTCCAAAAGCAGCTCCAAAACTGAAGGGGAAGTGTGAGCAATTCCCAGGCTGTTGATCCTGCCTTTCCCAGTCCTGCCAGTGGCCACGGTGGAGCCAAGGGGTGAGGAAAGGCTGGTCAGCTCTGGAGAGTGAACAGGGCACTGGCTCAGCTGTGGGGGCAGAGCTGGGACAGTTTTGGGGGCAGCTGGGACAGTTTTGGGGGCAGAGCTGGGACAGTTCTGGGGGCAGAGCTGGGACAGTTCTGGGGGCAGAGTTGGGGCACTCTGTAGAGTGAGTGGGGCACTGGGCCAGGTCCTGCACATGCAAAATGGGCCAGTTTTAAAGTGTGCTGAGAGAGGGATGTGCCTGGGACCTCAAATGGTCCAGCTCAGTGATGTGGGCTCTATTAGTCCTTTGAAATTGGGATTTCTCTCCTCTGAGGGATGATGTCAGGCCGAGGTCACTTGGCTGCTTTTGGGCTGAGCTGGGCTTTGCAGGATGCCCTTTCTGAGCTGATACCTGATCACAGGCCCCGTTGTGCAGTGAGATCTCTCTGCCCCAGCTCTAGGAGACCCAGGAGAGGGGAAGGCTGCGAGCCCTGAGCCCAGGCAGCCCCAGCCCGAGGTGTCCCTGCGCCTGCAGTCGGGGCCGCGCGCGGCCGCGCTCTCAGCCCTGGCTGAGCACAACGGCTTCCTGCAGCTGCTGCTGCACAGCCAGGCCACCGAGCTCTGCACCTCCTGCCTCGCCAGCCTGGGACCCTTCCTGGAGGATGAAATCATCCCTGAGGTCATCCCCATGGAGATAGAGGTGGTGGATGCCAAAATCACCTTGAAGGTGAGAGATTCCCCCCAGGGCAGGGCTCGCTTGCAGGATTGCACTTGGGAAGGGCTGTGGAATGAATGCTGGGGGCCTCTGTAGAGCTTCTCTTCTGCTGAGACTGTTTGGTTTTGGTTCTCAAAGCAAAACCAAACCTAGGGATGAATAAGGAACACAAGGGGAGTGTGTACCTGTGCACCCTGTACATAAAGCCAGGCCTTTCCCAGTGCTGCTGGTCAGGAACGCTGCTCCTGAGGAGGCTGCAGGCAAGGGAAATCCTTTCAGGAGCTGTCACAGCTGCTCATCCCTTCTCTGCTTCCTGTTGCTCCAGGATGACACCCCCCCAGTGTACCCCACCTCCCCTGGCCCTGTCCCCATCACCTTGGCCATGGATCACATCGTGGTGAGGCGCAGGGATGATGGTGTCTTCTATCTCACAGGTGAGTTACCTCTGGTTTTACTGCCCCTCTGCACCCCCAGGCTGTGCTGGAGGAGACTGGGATGTGCTGGGAAGGATGGGCTGTGAGGTGGGAGCAGTGCCTGTGTGTGTTTCCTGCTGTGGGAGCCCTCCCTGCCTCTGTTCCCTACTGTGAGAATTCATGTCTGGTGTTTCCTTAAGCACACACAGACAGGGTCCATTATTACCTTTTAGTTTCTCCATTTAAAAAAGGAAAAGAGAATTTTATTTCCCTGTGTAACAAGAAGGAAAGAAATTAATTAAAGTTATTTTTTTGTTCTGAGAGCCCTGTTGTGTGAATGTCCACACCTGAGTGGGTTCTGTTCTTTCCAGCTCCCCAGGGGAAGGACTCAGTGAAACAGGAAAAGTCTGTGTCAGTCCCTGAGGAGCAGAAGGCCCCATCAGAGTGTGTGTCACCAGCCCCAGCAGCAGGAGCCCGTGGGCTGCAGGTGAGTCACTGCTGCCTGGACAACAGAGAGCTGGAAATTCTCTTTTGCCTCGGTGTGTTTGCAGGGCTGGGCAGGTGTGGTGAGCTGCAGGAAGGGAGTGCCCCGAGGAGCAGCCTGTGCCTCCTCCCATGGGTGTTTTGAGGAGTGAGGGCACCTTCCCCAGCATGAACTTACTTGTTCCCTTTCAGAATCTGGTTGGGGGTTGTTTTCTGATTGGCTCCATCTTCCCCACTGTGTCCAGTTCCTTGTTGGAAAAACAGGAATTGAGAGGTTCCCAAAAAGAGAATTTCTGTCAGTGGTGGTATCTCAGTGTGTAATTGATCCCAAGAGCTCCTGCTGTGGTTTTCCTTGGAGCAGCTCACTGTGAACCTTGAGGACTCCTGCCTTGTTCTCTGCTTGTCTCCTGCAGCTCAAGCAAGTGCCAGAGTTGCAGAGGGAGCTGCAGACCTTGAAACTGGCGCTGGCAGAAGCCAACATGGACAAGGCTCGCCTTCTGCAGGAGATCAGGAAGTACAACCCCCTGTTCCAGCTCTGACACTGCCAGGGACAGGGCACCAGCACCAGCAGGGCAGGTTTGGTCATTTTGCTGCCAAACGGGTCCAAGTCCAGGACTGAAACCAGCTGTGACTGCAGAGACTGGGCAGGGAGGGACAGAGGGGCCTGGCTGAGAGAAGTGGGGGAATGAGGAGGAGTTTGCTCTGCTCTGGCCTGGGAGGGCTGCACTGAGCCAGGCCATGGTCAGCCCACCAACACCAGCTCAGATTTTGGGGGGACACCCCATGTCTCCTCATCTCTGGGTGGTTTTCAGCCTCCAGCTTTTGTGGTGACTTGTGGAGATGGTCCATGCTGGGGGTTCTGCTTCTTTCACCCTTCCCTGTTGTGTTCTTGGCCAGCTGTGCTCACCAGGCCCACAGCAGGGGCAGGGTGAAGTGACCCTGTCCCTGTCCCCTCAGCACCTGGGCAGTGCCAGGACAGGGGTGGCAGAAGGGTCAGGGAGAGCAGGGCTGGGATGCCACTGTGCAGTGAGGGCACACAGCTCACTACTCCCACAAGAACAGGGGCAGGACAGTACAGAAATTCCTTCAGATTCCCTTTCCCACCAGTAATTCCTTGTGTAGAGATGGATGCAGTGTATGAGACTCAGTCCAGTCCACTTCATCCCACAATGTTTGGCTTTAGTGGTGCAGGATTAATTCCTGTCAAGGCACTGTTTCAATTTTTACTATCAAATAATGGGGTGAGGGAGTTGGTTCAGTCTCAGGAGATGACCTGGGTGTTTTTTTGGGATGCACTTTGTCCTCAGAGCTTTGTGTGCCTGAGTTCCCCACTGGGGAGGAGGAGCTGTGGGGTTTTCAGCACTGGGTGGAATCTTCCAGCAGGGCTGGGATGGGACCCCAGAACCACCTGCCAGCCCTGATCCCAAAAGGAAATCACTGAACACCCCCATGTGGAGCAGCTCCCTGTGAGGAACTGCCCACCAGCAGAATTTGGATTTTGTTTCACCAAACTTTGTGCTGCTCCCTCTCCCTGTGGGGGAACACAAGAGCTCTGAGCACTGCCTGCCTGGGGTGGAACGCCACGGTGTTCCTGCTTTTTCTTCATTAATTGCTTGAAAATGGGAGGTTTCTCTCTTCTGCTTTTTCCAATTTTCATGACATTTTGTGTGAGTATGGGAAGGCTTTGCCAAGGGTTTGCCCAGCCTGCAGGGCCCCACAGCTCCTCCCACGTGTGCAGGCTGAGCACAGCTGGGGCCAGGGTGTTTACAGCAAATTCCTGCTCCAGCTCCTTCAGTCCATGGGTTTTGGTGAAGAATTCCAGATTCAGTCCATGGGTTTTGGTGAAGAATTCCAGCTTCAGTCCATGGGTTTTGGTGAAGAATTCCAGCATTTCCTTTGCTCTGAAGACCCAGTAAAAAGGACTGTAACCCAAAACCCACACACGTGGGAGGACAAAACCTCCAGGGTCCCCACAGATTGTAAATATCAAAGTTTACTTTGTGGAGCCTCTTGTTTAAGGATTCTTCCTCAGTTCCAGTGAGAGCCCAGGGAGTCCTGCCTGGCACAGGGGCCATGGAGAGCACGTGGTCCCAGCAGCTCTCACAGGGCCCCTGGAAGGGGAGGGGGGGAATGTGCAACTCTGAACTTGAATTTAAATCTGAATTTTAGGCAGTATTGCAACTTTGCTGCAGTTTGTTTCCACTGATGCATTTATTGGTTCTATGAACCAGGAGCAGAATTAAACTCATTAACCTCCTTCCAGCCTCGGCTCTCTTTTCCTGCTTTTCCTTCCCCCTCCATCCCAACACTGCTGATTTTTGGGCAGCTCCTGGATTTGGGAGCAGAGCTGAACCCTGACTTCAGATGTTCCAGCTGCCAGCACAGCCCTGACCCAGGCTGGGAGCAGCTCTGGGAGCACCTTGGGTCACACAAAGAGCAGATCCCAGACAGGTTATGAACACAAGAATAAGTTTATTAAGTTTAATGTACAAAAACAGCCACACACCTGGGCACAGGTGGCACACCTGGGCCAGCAGGAAATGCTCTGCAGCCCCTGCATTTCCTCTCCCTGCTGTGCTGAGACCCCAAAGTCCAGGCTGAGGGTGGCCCCAGCTCTGCCCACGGTGGGCAGGGACAGCAGGAACATCCTTGAGGCCCCCAGGCCAGCCCAGAGGGGCCTTGTGGAGGATTCCACGTGGGAAGGTCCTGCAAGAAGCTCCTCTCAGCCTCCCTCAGTGGAAAATGATCTTCTTGTACTTGGAGTTGGGGATCTGCCCCCGTGCCTTGAGCCTCCTGACAGCCTCCCTCATGTGCTTGGGCTGCAGGGGGGGCAGCTCCCCCCACTTCTCACACACATCCAGGGCTGCACAGACAGACAGACAGACAGAGCTCAGGGCAGGGGCCAGCTGAGCTCTGCCCAGCCCTGCTGCAGCTTTGAAAGGAACAGGTGATGGTTGTGTTGGGCTTTGAGGCAGGAATGGAGCTGCTCCTCTCCCTGCCAGGAGTCCCAGAGGACAAAAAGCTTCTGAACCCTCAGGCAGGGGGGAGATCTGGATCCAGGGAAGGGATGAGCTCAGAGCCCTGGGGCTGGCTGGGCTGTGATCCCCCCCTGTGATCAGCTCCTGTCCCACAGGGGAAGCCTAGGGCAGGTGTGGAGCTCAGGGAACCCCTCTGTCCCTGCAGCACTGAGATCCTCACCCTGCAGCTGCTCTGGGATGGACAGAGCTGCCAGCCCAGCTCCTCTGCTGAGCAGCACTGGGGGAGCAGAGGGGCTGTGGCAGCTACAGCAGGCCCTGCCCTGAGCCAGAGCTGCTGCTGGAAGGGAGAACCACGGAGAACCTGCTCCTCATCCTGCCCCAAGCAGGGAGCTCACCCCGGGCCCCTCCCCTGCACTCACCTTCTTCCACCACCTCCCCGACGAACACCTTGGAGATGCCCGACATGGCGATGACGACGTTCTGGGACACCGAGGTGCCGGTGATGGACTGGATCAGCTGCGGCAGGGACAGGGACAGGCGGGGACATCAGAGCGGGGCCCTCCCCGGCCCTCGGGGCCGCGGCAGGAGCAGCTCCTGAGGGGGATTTGAGCTGGGGCCGCTCGGGATGGGCTGAGCTTGGGCTCCCAGCGCTCCTTACCCGTTTGATGGCGGCCTTGGGGAAGGCAGAGCGCCGGTACATCTCGTAGCGGTTCAGCTGCTCCTCGGAGAAGGAGGAGACCAGGATCCTGCGGGGCACAGCATCGTTCCCAGCCGCTCCCAGGGCC